CGGGAAGCCTGCTTCTCCCTCTCCTACTCCCCCTGCTTGTGTTCCCTCTCTCTCTGTGTCTCTCTGTCAAATAAATAAATAAAATCTTTAAAAAAAAAAAAAAGGCATCCAGATTGGCAAAGAAGAAGTCAAACTCTCTATCTTTGCAGATGACATGATACTTTATGTGGGAAATCCAAAAGATTCCACCCCAAATTACTAGAACTCATACAGAATTCAGCAAAGTGGCAGGATATAAAATCAATGCACAGAAATCAGTTGCATTTCTATACACTAACAATGAGACAGAAGAAAGAGAAATTAAGGAGTTGATCCCATTTACAATTGCACCCAAAACCATACGATACCTAGGAATAAATCTAACCAAAGAGGTGAAGGATCTATACTCTAAAAACTACAGAAAACTTATGAAAGAAATTGAGGAAGACACAAAGAAATGGAAAAACATTCTATGCTCATGGATACAAAGAACAAACATTGCTAAAATCTCTATGCTACCTAGAGCAATCTATACATTCAATGCAATCCCTATCAAAATACCATCAACTTTTTTCACAGAAATGGAACAAATAATCCTAAAATTTTTATGGAACCAGAAAAGACCCTGAATAGCCAAAGGAATGTTGAAAAAGAAAAGCAAAGCTGGTGGCATCACAATTCTGGACGTCAAGCTATATCACAAAGCTGTATTCATTCATTTTGTACCATACTGGTACAAAAACAGACACATAGATCAATGGAACAGAATAGAGAGCCCAGAAATGGACCCTCAACTCTATGGTCAGCTAGTCTTCGACAAAGCTGGAAAGAATATCCAATGGAGAAAAGACAGTCTCTTCAACAAATGGTGTTGGGAAAACTGGGCAGCCACGTGCAGAAGAATGAAACCAGACCACTTTATTACACCATACACAAGAATAAACTCAAAATGGATGAAGACCTAAATGCGAGATAGCAATCCATCAAAATCCTAGAGGAGAACACAGGCAGCAACCTCTTCGACCTCGGCCGCAGCAACTTCTTGCTAGAAACATCGCCAAAGGCAAGGGAAGCAAGGGCAAAAATGAACTATTGGGATTTCA